CGGCTCTGGAAGGGGGAAAGGGGTTAAAACTTACCTTTTTCCAGCGCTGGGCGGGGAGCTCTCCTCCTTCTCTCCTCCTCCGTTCCGCACCGTCGGCTGAATGCACACGCGCGGCAAGAGCTGCGCGCGCATTCACCCGGTCACATAGGAAAGCATTCATAATGCTTTCCTATGGACGCTTGTGTGCTCTCACTGTGATTTTCACAGTGAGAAGCACGCAAGCGCCTCTAGCGGCTGTCAATGAGACAGTCACTAGAGGCTTTGGAGGAAGGCTTAACCCATTGATAAACATAGCAGTTTCTCTAAAACTGCTATGTTTAAAAAAAATTGGTTAATCCTAGAGGGACCTGGCACCCAGACCACTTCATTAAGCTGAAGTGGTCTGGGTGCCTAGAGTGGTCCTTTAAGTGGCATTATCAATGTTTTCTATGGAATGACAAGGGTAAATGAATAAAGAGAATGTCCATAGAGTCAGCCACTTACTACAGTGCCAGCTTTTCCACCAAAAAGCTTATCAGTTCTATCTTTGTGCCCTGGTTCCCAGTGCCATATATGTCCCCATACAGCTACTCAGTGCTATCTGTGTTCCAAAATAGCTAATCAGTGACATCTGTGCCCAAATAGCTTATTAGTGCCACCTGTGTGCTCAAATGGCTTATTAGTACCAGGGGCAGATCCAGAACCTAATCTTGGAAGAGACACGGTTAGTGGGCTGTAGTAGGTGGCAATGGGCTGTAGTGGGGGACAGTGGCTGTAGTAGTATGGTTAGGGGCTATATTGGGAAGGTAGGGACTGCAGTTTGAGCTGTTGTGGAGGGTATGGGGGTAGGATATCTAGTGGGGAGATATGGGCTGTGGTATGGGGGTTAGGGGCTGAATTGGGGATTGGTTGCAAATTGGAGAAAAGGGCTATAGTGTCGAGTATGAGCTGCAACTGGGTAATAGGGACTGTAGTGGGTGGTAGGGACTGTGGTAAGAGAATAGGGACTGTAGTGGGGGATCTGGGCTACATTTGGGGGTAGGGACTGTAGTGTGGGATAGGTAATGCAGTATGGTTGGGGGTATGGGACTGTAGTAGGGTGGTTAGGGCTGTAGTGGGGGAATATGGGCTGTGTTTGAAGTGTAGGGTCTGTAGTGGGGGATACGAGCTACATTTGGGGTTAGAGGTTGCAGTGGGAATAAGGGGCTGTGGTAGAGAAGTTCGGGGCTGCTGTGGGGTTAGGGGCAGCAGTGAGGAAATAGGGGCTGCTGTTCGATTAAAGAGCTTAAGTAGCGGGTTTGGGGCTGTAGTATGGTATGGAGGCTGCAATTTTACAGTAAGGGGCTGTAGTAGGGAGTTAGGTGTTGTACAGTAAGTGGGGTGTAGTGGGGAGTAGTAGGGTATGGGGGCTGTAGTGAGGACTAAAGGACTGTAGTAGGGGCTGTAATTCTCCAACTACAGCCCCTACACCCTACTACAGTCCTTTAGTCCTGGCTGCAATTGGGGGTTAAGGGCTGTAGTAAGAGGTTAGGGGCTGTAGTCAGGTGTAGGGGTTGCAGTTTGGGGTTAGGGGATGTTGTGGTGGGTTAGTGATTTATGTAGGGGGTTAGGAGCCAAGCGTGAGGGAGCTGGGCCTATTGCGAGCGGCAGGGCCAAGTGCTGCAATGCGCCTCTATCCACAGATAGCTGTGCACCTGTTCAGGATCAGCCCTGCAGAGGGAATATGGAAAAAGCAGCGAGACAAAACAGATAAATATGAAAAAATATCATATTTATTTTTTTCTTACTCTAGCATGAGACGTGTCTCATTTAACCCCTTAAGGACACATGACATGTGTGACATGTCATGATTCCCTTTTTATTCCTGAAGTTTGGTCCTTAAGGGGTTAAAGGCAAAGGCTTTGAATGAGACAGTTGTCTAAGCAGGGATGCATGTCCCGTTTAACTTGCTATGTCTTTCAGATTTCCCTACAAAAGAGTTGATGTACACTATACTCTATGGGCATTCCATTGTGTCATTCACACTTCTCATTCCATAGAAAACAATGATAATCCCACTAAATCTCAATTTTAAAAATTGCTGAACCTGGAGAGTAAGCCAACAAAAGATGTATTTGATATGTCTAATAGTTCTCTCTAATTCAAATATTTAGTTTTCATTATTCTCTATGGGTATTCCTTATACTTCCATTATTGTCTATGGGCATTCCAATCTGTCATTCCTTTTAGAATGTCCCCAAGCTGGGTACCCACAGTGGCGGATCCAGGGGGGGGGCAACGGGGCAATTGCCCCCCCCGAGAAATCCGCCGGTCTCCCTCCCCTGCCAGCACATGCAGGTGCTAGCCCTGCAATGTGCCTGCGGACCGGAGGGGAGATCAGAGATCTCCCTCCCCGGTCCGCAGGCACCGTGCTGACAGCCGGCAGGGGAGGGAGAGGGAGGACCCGGAGCTCAGTCTGCAGCTCCTCCGGGTCCTCCTCTCGTGAGATTTGAAGCGTTGCCGCGGTTACCACGGCAACGCTCCAAATCTCGCGAGAGTGAACTCTAGCCCGGGAGCGCGGGCTAGAGTTCACTGTCCCCACTGGGACCACCAGGGAATCCCCAACTGGACCACCAGGGAACGAAATATGTCCCCCCTCCCCCCAGTAAAGGTAAGAAGGGAGGGGGGACATAAATATATATTTTAATTAAATTAAAAAAAATTATATTATAAAAAAAAGCCACACACACATACATTGCCCCCAATACTGCCCCCCATTCACACAAACTGCCCCCCATTCACACAAACTGCCCCCACATACACACACACTGCCCCCCATACACACACACTGACCCACATACATACTGCCCCACATACACACACACTGCCCCCCATACACACACAAACTGCCCCCATACACACGCACTGCCCCCACATACACACACACTGCCCCCCATACACACAAATTGCCCCCCCATACACACACACTGCCCCCCATACACACACACTGCCCCCATACACACACACTGCAACTCCCACACTGCACATACACTGCCGCCCTCACTCACACACTACAACCTTCACACACACTGCACCCCTTACACATTGCACCACTCACACACACACCACTGCTCCTATGCCCTACTACAGCCCCATTTCCCAGCAGATCTCAGGTAAGTTGTCAAACTGTTCTAAAACGGTTTGACTACTTACTGTGGGAGGGGTCCCGGCACTATTGACACCATAACCACTACACTGAGCTGTAGTGGTTATTGTGTCTGGATTATTTCTTTAAATAATCTACAAGTGCCCCTCCCGAGATCAGGCTCTGGATCCGCCACTGGGTACCCATTACTACACGTATTGCTTGCCAGTAATGAATGATATAACGAGTAATGAGGTGAGGGACAGGGCCTTAGGGGTTTGAGAGCTGTGCGGCCGCACAGGGCGCCATGGAACTGCCTGATCCTGTGTATGTGATGGATTTGACAGTGTATATGTATATCTGTGTGCACATAACTCTGCAAAAATATACACCTGCATTCACACACAGGCCTAAATGTATGTTTTTAATGAATTAAATAACCATCACACACAGCCAATAAACCCAGCACAAATACCACATACAACCGCATATCACACACAGCTAACAAGGTTTACATGTAAACTGTAAAGATAACAATAAATGCAGTGAGTCATGCTTAGTAAGTGGTGTCCTTACACCTTTTGTTAGTTATCGTGCTAGCAGGCTATAAAGGGTTGTGTACCACCCCCCCTTTGTAGGCTGTAAATGGTTAATCTCCCCCTCATTCCCAGGCTGTAAAGGGTTAACTTCTCTCATTACCAGGCTGTAAAGGGTTAGCCTCCCCCCCCACATTCCCATGCTGTAAAGGGTTAACTTCCTCCATTCCCAGGCTGTAAAGGGTTAATTTCCTCCATTCCCAGGCTGTAAAGGGTTAACTTCTCATTACCAGGCTGTAAAGGGTTAGCCTCCCCCCCCCCACATTCCCATGCTGTAAAGGGTTAACTTCCTCCATTCCCAGGCTGTAAAGGGTTAATTTCTCTCATTACCAGGCTGTAAAGGGTTAGCCTCCCCCCCCCCACACACATTCCCAGGCTGTAAAGGGTTAACTTCCTCTATTCCCAGGCTGTAAAGGGTTAACTTCCTCCATTCCCAGGCTGTAAAGGGTTAACTTCTCTCATTACCAGGCTGTAAAGGGTTAGCCTCCCCCCCCCCACATTCCCATGCTGTAAAGGGTTAACTTCCTCCATTCCCAGGCTGTAAAAGGTTAACTTCTCATTACCAGGCTGTAAAGGGTTAGCCTCCCCCCCCCACATTCCCATGCTGTAAAGGGTTAACTTCCTCCATTCCCAGGCTGTAAAGGGTTAATTTCTCTCATTACCAGGCTGTAAAGGGTTAGCCTCCCCCCACACACACATTCCCAGGCTGTAAAGGGTTAACTTCCTCTATTCCCAGGCTGTAAAGGGTTAACTTCCTCCATTCCCAGGCTGTAAAGGGTTAACTTCCTCCATTCCCAGGCTGTAAAGGGTTAATTTCTCTCATTACCAGGCTGTAAAGGGTTAGCCTCCCCCCCCACACACATTCCCAGGCTGTAAAGGGTTAACTTCCTCTATTCCCAGGCTGTAAAGGGTTAACTTCCCCCATCCCCAGGCTGTAAAGGGTTAACCCTTCACCCCATTCCCAGGCTGTAAAGGGTTAACCTTTCACCCCATTACCAGGCTGTAAAGGGTTAACCTTTCACCCCATTACCAGGCTGTAAAGGGTTAACCTTTCACCCCATTACCAGGCAGTAAAGGGTTAACCTCCCCCTCCACCAAACTCTGCAAACTGGAGAACTCTGCGACTGGACGTTTCATCCGCTCATGGAATTCTCAGGATGGAGATCTCTGCTGTGATTGGCTGCTCGGCGGAGACGGCGGCTGTGATTGGCTGCTCTCTTCCCTCATGTTTCCAGTCAGCTCTCGCTTCTCACAGTGTGATCCGTTACTGATAGACCGACTGAGTGCCCGGCTTCCAGTCACCAACCATCACCACAACCACTGTTACCCTATAACTGCCCCCACTACTTCATAACCCCCTCCTCCCACCGTGTTAGCGCTACATAGCTAACACTCCCTGCTCAGCTAACACTCACACACTCCCTGCTCAGCTAACACTCACACACTCCCTGCTCAGCTAATACTCACACTCACTGCTCAGCTAATACTCACACTCCCTGCTCAGCTAACACTCACACACTCCCTGCTCAGCTAATACTCACACACTCCCTGCTCAGCTAACACTCACACACTCCCTGCTCAGCTAATACTCACACTCACTGCTCAGCTAATACTCACACTCACTGCTCAGCTAACACTCACACACTCCCTGCTCAGCTAACACTCACACACTCCCTGCTCAGCTAATACTCACACTCACTGCTCAGCTAATACTCACACTCCCTGCTCAGCTAACACTCACACACTCCCTGCTCAGCTAACACTCACACACTCCCTGCTCAGCTAACACTCACACACTCCCTGCTCAGCTAATACTCACACTCACTGCTCAGCTAATACTCACACTCACTGCTCAGCTAACACTCACACACTCCCTGCTCAGCTAACACTCCCTGCTCAGCTAACACTCACACACTCCCTGCTCAGCTAATACTCCCTGCTCAGCTAACACTCACACACTCCCTGCTCAGCTAACACTCACTCCCTGCTCAGCTAACACTCACACACTCCTCAGCTAATACTCACTCCCTGCTCAGCTAATACTCACACACTCGCTCCTCACCTCCTTGTTGCCTCCCCCTCCTTACTACCCGCATACCCACAGCCTAAAAACTCACTTATTGCTGCCCCCGACCCATACTCATAGCTGCTGCCCCCCAGTCTACAATCTGTTACCTACTTTTTTTTCTACTAAACCTTATTGCTGCCTGTTTTCATATATTCTCTGTGCTTGCTGCCATCACTTCTATCACTTACTGTTACATTTCCTATTGTTTACCTACTGTTGCACAGTTGCATTTCCACTCAATTTCATTTCCCTCCAGCTGAAACTACCCCCCCTTGCATTTCCCTCCAGCTGAAACTACCCCCCCTTGCATTTCCCTCCAGCTGAAACTACCCCCCCTTGCATTTCCCTCCAGCTGAAACTACCCCCCCTTGCATTTCCCTCCAGCCGAAACTACCCCTTGTATCATCTCCCTCCAGCTGAATCTTACCCCCTTGCATTTCCTCCAGCTGAATTCTCCACTCCCTGTATTTCCTCCTTGTGTTGAAACTACAATTCCCCCGCATCTCCCCTCCAGCTGACCTACCCTGTATTTCCCTCCAGCTGAATCTACCCCCCTTGCATTCCAGCTGAAACTACCCCCGCCCCCTGCATTTCCCTTCAGCTGAAATCTCCCCCCACGTCACAGTTGCATTTCCCTCAAGCTGAAATCCCCCCCCACGACCCAGCTGCCTGTATCATGTGTTGCTCCTCCCCATGCCTGTCTAGTGATGTCCCCTGAGTCTTCTCTGCACGGTGTACACCCACAGTGCCCTGCATCCCCTCCCAGAGTACACTGCCCTCCCTGTGCCAGCCTGCCCTAACTCTCAGACCTGCTGCATTGGACCCCTGCCCTCCAGCCCCAGGTAAGGAGTAATGCTAAGAGTGGTAACTTTATTCTTGTGGGTCAAACTGTGTCAGTGGGTTGGTGCTGGGCTGGGAACCGTGGCTGGGCTCTTGGCTGGCTGAGTGTCATGTACAGCACAAGGCACACACCTGGAGAGATGTTATACAACTCCACGGGGGTTCCCGTGTCCTTTCATTCGAGGAATCTGAATTGCAACAATGTATAGTGATCTTCGCTTGATCAGAATTGCAGCACACTGGGAGAGCTGTATCAATCCAATAACAGGTGCCATTCTGGGGCACAGTAGTACATAGTACACAAGGAGCAATTACCATGGAAACTAATAAACTATTTCAACATATAGAATTTTGCACCCAGAATAGCACCAGTTTAACTTTGAGAAGTCTCCCTCAATGCCAAGATGTAGGAGGAAGTCCACACATTGGACATACTGTTTCGTTTTGTATGAACTCCTGTAGTTGGTGTGAGATTTCCAATAACTGTTTTGAAGCATTAATGATATTAGATCAATTTAAATGTGAATGACATGCATTCCAACCTGTTCTGAGGAAGGTGTGAGTGCATATTACTGCTTGTGTTCCATAAATGTTTCATAACACTGTAAACATATTTATGTCGTAGTGTTCTAATGTTCCACATAGTTAATTTTTTTTTTTTTTTTTTAATTTATTAAAGGTTTCTAGTTGTGGGAAGACAATTGGTTTCTCCTACAACTTGTAGATGATTGATTTTCTTTTATTTGTAAAAATTGTGGATTTAATCTTGCTGGCCCATCTGACACTTTTGTAACACAAAGGTGCAAAACAGACAATTCACATGTTTGGTCAGTAGCAGCTGTACATTAAAAAGAGTATTCAGGAGGGTGAGGTAAGTTGTCTGCCTTATATAAATATAGGCAAATTAAAAATGAAATAGGGGTATAGAATTCTTAGACTATAAACGACAACTGACTCTTCAAGTCTGCCCACTTAACATGAATGTCATGGGATATTGTTTCAGTAAAACATATAGCAATCATTGGTTATTAATTAACTATTTATATATATAAAACATAATTTAATATAATTAAACTCTTTATTTAAAAAAAAAAAAAAAAAGGCGAGCAGTTGAGATTTGGTCACTTTCAAAGTTCTGCCTGAAATTGTAATGGTGTCATTATGCTGTTCGCTTTTACTACAGTAAAGTGTTCAGAGTATATGAACATGTTTGGGGTTTTGGAACGTTAGAGGGTCGCCTATAGGGCTTGCAAATTAAATTCTCTGTACTTTCTGCATGGGTTGTCTGTCAGATCCCCAATATATAATTAATACAATTTTTTATATATATATATATATATATACACACACACACACACACGAAAAAACAGCTTCTTGCACTCACGGTCTTGAAATGTAAAAAAAGGTTTTCTTTATTTACAACATATCCATAAAATCGTCACGCCAACGATGTTTTTTCCTCTGCCCTCCTCTGGGCCTTTTTTTTTTATTTTATTTTTTTAATACATTTCAAGACCAAGAGTGCAAGCCGTTTTTTCACTTGTACATTTTCTGGCTATGGCTTAGATAGCACCTGGCTTTCAAATCAATTTGGTTTAGCCTGAGTGCAAGGACAAAAGCATTTATTTTTATATAGATGTAGAGATTGTAGCCGTATGTAGATGTAAAAAATAGATACACTTTGTATCTTTGTAATTTTTTAAATTTTTTTTTTATTGGACTAACAGAATTTAGCTTTAACCCCTGTATCTCAACTTTTAATTCTATGTACGTCTTGCTCAGAAATGCTTCAGACTTGTTATGTATAAAATCTTTATATAAATATAAACTTAGAATGAAAATCACACGTGTGTATGTGTGTGTCCGTGTGAGAGAGAGATTTTCACTCTAAGTTTATATTTATATAAAATTTTATACATTGGGGATCTGTCTGACAACCCAGGCAGTCAATCTTACAATCCGAGTCATATGATTGCAGTGTCATCTTGGTTGGTTGAGAGATCTGAAGAATATTCGTCATTCGATTAGTTGTGAAATAAAGGGGAATCCAGTAAAGTGGTGCAGCTTTTCAATTTTCTTTCTCTTGGTTTTATGGTTTTATTTTTTTTAAATAAAACCATATTTTCGCATGCAGTGCAGGCAGTCCAAATGAATGTTTAAGATCTGAATTCAGAAGTTATTTTGCTTTGTATTAAGCACCCTTGTCAGTTAATTGTGTAATTTGTGTTGGTTTTTGACTTCATGCGTTATGTGTTTTTTGATTAGAGTCCGCTCTGCATGTGCTTTTATAAGTAGCTACACCAAGCAGCAGTAGCGCTTTTTTTGTATTTTCAAACATGGTCTCTGGTCACTAATGCAATAGAAGGCATCTTCAACATTCAAGCTAGGAATTTAACTGAAAATAATCCTGTTTTTATTTTACATTGCAGTCTCTATAATTACAAGTTATAGACTTAAAGGACCACTATAGTGCCAGGAAAACATACTCGTTTTCCTCGCACTTTAGTGCCCTGAGGGTGCCCCCACCCTCAGGGTCCCCCTCCCGCCGGGCTGGATGGAGAGGAAGGGGTTAAACTTACCTCTTTCTCCAGCGCCGGGCGGGGAGCTCTTCTCCTCCTCTTCGGCTGAATGCGCATGCGCGGCAGGAGCCGCGCGCGCATTCAGCCAGTCCATAGGAAAGCATTCACAATGCTTTCCTATGGACGCTGGCGTCTTCTCACTGTGATTTTCACAGTGAGAAACGCGGAAGCCCTCTAGCAGCTGTCAATGAGACTAGAGGCTGGATTAACCCTAACATAAACTGCTATGTTTATAGAAAAAAGGGTTAACCCTAGATGGACCAGGCACCCAGACCACCTCATTAAGCTGAAGTGGTCTGGGTGCCTATAGTGGTCCTTTAATTTACTAAACACACAATTGAAAACTGAGCGGCAGCCAGCCTTAAATGAACCCTGACACACCTATAACCTATTTATGTTATTATAGGGGTAGAACTGGGGTGGGGTTTGGAGTGTCCAGGCTTCGTCCTACCATTAGGGGTTAAACCGTTTTAGACTGGTTTAACCCCAGTGTTGGTGCCTCGACCCCTGACTGGCATCTCTGCCTCTTGGCTTCCTTTATCTTTGTTCTGTAGTATGCAGTATAAATAGACAAATTGAAAGCCTAGTTGATTTCCTCCTTTTTTTTTTTTTTTTATTGACTGTTTTTTGCTCTACAATTTGAAAATAAGTTTGAATTCCTGACAAAGGTTACGAGGTCAGTTAGTTTATGTAGATCGAACCGAGATTAATCTTTAGCTTTTCAGAGCTCTTATTACGCCAAGTCAGACATTTACTTGAAAAGTAAGGCTGCAAATTTAGATGAATCAAATGAAACAGATTATTTTACAGATCAGTGGTAACTAATATATGTTAACGGAATTTAGAACATCGTGAAATATGCCTTTTTGCTTAGTGGCAGGGGCCAGGCTTTGGGTTCTAGGGGAGCCCTTTTTTAAAAATTTTTGGTTTTTTTTTTTGCTCACCCTTGTATAACCAAGATTTTTTTCCCCAAAATTCCTTGTGTTCCAGTCTGAGGCCGCCTTGGTACTTTTGCTGTGGGCTTGTTCCACTGTAACATAACTCTTTTTTTTTTTTTTTTTATATATATACTGGTGTTTTTTAAAGACCAATAGGGCTTATATGCTTTCATACCACATTACAATTGAGGAAAATATTGAAAAACAAGAAAAAAGCAAACAAACCTCAAAATGTGCAAACATATATCAGGAGCCGAGTGTGCCACCAGCATGTTTTGGGTTCTGTGGGTACCTTTGTGAGGGGAGGTCTATTGGCAGTTTTCTTGTGATGACTCTACCCCTCTGCCGCCAGACTGATTTTCGTCTCTAATCGGTCCTCTCACCCATCATTCAGTCATTACATTGGGTTCCTGTATCCTGTAGGAGTCAATTCAAATTGCTAACCCACATCCTATAAAGCACTGAACAATTCTAGCCCCTCTTATATCTCCTCCATAGGTATGCCCCTTCTCTGTCTTCCACTCTTCCCGTGACCTTCTCCTGTCCGCTGCTCGCACACGTACATCCAACTCACGCTTGCAGGACTTCTCTCGGGCGGCTCCCTTCCTATGGAATAGCCTACCTACCCCCATCAGACTCTCCTCTAGTCTTCAGTCGTTTAAGAAGTGCCTTTCTTTAGGAAAGCTTATGGCCTCCCAGAGTAACCTCTACCTCACATACCGGTCTCTTGCTCTCTCCTAAAGGGCAGCACTTTACTCTCTCCTCCAGCTCTGCTTCACTCCCACCTTATTTGATTGCTATTTCCTGTCCTAATGTGTTTTATACCCCACCTCCTATAGACTGTAACCTCGTTTGAGCAGGGTCCTCTTCCGTCTATTGTTCTTTTCTTGTAAT